CACACACACACACACACACACTCTTCTTTTGCCCTCTTTTCTCCTCCTCCTCCCTGTATCCAGTACAGTGTGAGATGACTCTTGGAAAGATCCACTGGCAAACTCTGCCCCTGGATTTATTATTCTTCATTAGCCATAATCAAAGGAAGAAGGGGCAACTGACAGAGGAAGAGGGAAGGTCAGAAATTACACAGCGCATGTGCTGCTGAATACGCCCCACAACACACACACCCTCGGGGGCTGGCACAAGCCCCACTTATCTTCATTTCCACAGCCTCTCCGTGCGGAGAGAGCCTATTTTTAGCTGACACTTTGCTCCCACTTTTGTCCCGGTGCAGACCACTTTTCCTAGAGGTGGACCCACACTCTTAGTTCCAATTGCAAAAGGAGATAACCTCTCCTACACACACACACACACACACACACACACACACACCCTACAATCTACTTCCTCTCCTTCTGGATCACGTTTTCTCTCCTGCGATGTTGGGTGCTGCTGTCACCTCCCTAGAGAGCGGAAGGAGCGGGGTGCTGGCGAGAGTGAGAAGGCCCCACGACCCCGACGCAGGAGCCCGCGGGTGGCCCGATCCGGACGGGGGTTGATCGGGAGCAGGTGCAGACACTGGGCGCCTGGGGAAGGCGAGCAGGTGTGAGAGCAGGCGGCAGGCCTGAGAGGCGCTGGCGCGCGGTGGGACAAAAACAGAGTGAGAAGGAGCGTGGAAAAGGGGACCCCTCGGGTGGTCAGCGTTCGGAAGCGGGGGTGGAGATTAGGGGACCGCCTGTCCACCCCTGACCTCAGCCGGGCGGGATAGCTGGTTCAAGGTGGGACCACTGTCCTCAGGAGTCGCCAGAGTGCTTGGGAAGGCGGCAGCAATGAGAGCGCGACGGGCTCTGTCCAAGGTCCTTAACCCCCTTCTGCTTTCCTTGGATACTCTCGGGCTTGCCTTTCTCGTTTCCTGTGTCGAGGAAAATAATAAATAGTAGCCGAAGGGGATTCCTAGCAGCAGTGTTCCCGAGTGTGAGCTCAGAGAAACATGGACATGGCACAAGGAGAGGGGAGTGTTGACGTGAATGAATGTGTCTTGTGCCGGACGGTTCAAGTAAGTGCTTAGGTGTTTAATTTCCACCTCAACAACAGCCAGAGTAATTTTCAAGGAAACAAAAAAAAAATGACATTGTACAGCTCTCACTGTCTCAAGCTTCAATAAATGAAATAAATCAAAGTTAAGAGCTTGAGTATCATTTAATTATAGTGCGAATAGCGCTTTGAAAGAAGTAGAACAACATCTCTAAACAAATTATGACTGGGCCAGGAAGGAATTATTAGATTGAAATTTCATTTAGGCTCCGGAGACACCGCGCTTCACTGTGTAATCTGCTATGCCTCATCTGATTTGTATGCTTAATTCAGCTTGACGAATTTATTAGTTTTCATAATAGTGAAAAAATTGAGCAGTACTATAAGCTAATGCATTGTGTGTACTATAAATTGTATGCCATCGTGGAAAGGCTGAAGTCTATAGAAATCTTTTATTAATGTCGGTATAGGAGGGAGGATTTTCCTGCAAGCGGTGAAGAGGTTCATGCCAAACTCTACCGGCACTACGTCTCACCGGTCCATTAACATATCGTCATACTAATTAGACTACTTCATCAGTGATATAATTTCAAACTTCAAATTATGTTCTAATTAACAAGGGTTGTCCAATTTGCTTAATCTTCAAAAGGCTTGGGTTGGTCTAATTAGTATTAACTGTTGAGCATCTTTAAAGCCTAATAAAAAATCCATAAAAATATTTTGGGTGTGTTTTTTAATCAGTACTGGATAAAGGCCAGACGGCCGAAGTGAGAGTGGAGATGGGAAATAACTGAAAGACAAACGTCCTCAGCTTTCTAATTCCCCCAGATTATCATAGCAAGTGAATCACATGAAAAACTTTTGGGTATTGCTACTCCTAAATAGTGCGTTTATATGTTTAAATAAAGGCACAAGAATATCAAGGAGAAAAACCACATGGGGAAAGAATTCTTCTCTTTCATTAGGTGCCTAATTAGATGTAAAGTAAAAAGCAACCCTGAGGAGTTTCCCAGGCATTATTGTGGCAACAGTCTGCTGAACTTGAATTGAAAATCAAATATTTGGGGTGTTTTGAACCTCTCTCTGTCCCCTCCCCCTTCATTGAGCTTAATTACTTGCAATAGTTGTTTTAATGTATGTTGTCACCTGGGAGTATTGAGAAATGCATATCGTTAATATGAATTAATCTTGATTTTAATAGTAACTGACAACTGATCTCCAAAATGCTAAACACTTGTCACCACTTCAGATGGTAAATAAGGTACTATAATAAATTCATGAAATAGAGATGGACATTGTTGAAATGACTGGACAAACTTTGTTTGATACAGAATTTATTGACCAAAACTATTCTAAGCAAGAACACTCCTATGAGAATATTTCCCTGGTAACTGAAATTCATATATCATTAAAAATTGTTAACATAACTTTTTATCTCTCTGATATTTTTCAGTGATATCCCTAATTCCAGACAGGGAAAAAAAAAAAAAAAGAAAGCAAGAAAGCCCTGTGTTTTTAAATTGTCAATTTGAAGTAAATTAATATGTGGTTGTAGAGCAATTCAAGAGTTTATTTACCTGTATTCCCTTCCTCCTAGAAAACACATACATTTTTTAAAAGTCAAGTCATAGAGTTAGACTTCTCCTTTCCCCACTCAAAGTGAAAAATGAACAGTGATTGTGTTGCATTAGAGGGAAAAAGCAATTGTTCCTTCATCAACCACGACTTGCAATCTTGAATCTCTCTTTTCAGGAGTGTCCAGAATACCAACGTCATTGTGGTGATATCAATAAAACCCATTTCGGTTTACCCACAACCATTGCTGCAAAGTGCTCCAGCGAGTGTGGAAGCTGCTCTCCAAGGAAGAAAGAGAAAGACTCCAGCCCCACAGTTAGCTGGGGCCCTCTAAACAACTGGAAAGTTGCCAATAAACCCAGGGGGTGGAGACAAATGACCCAAAATTTAAAACCTGCTTCCTACAACCTCAACATACCTCTTCCCAAGCCCCTATTCGCACCTGTGCATCTACACACCTACAGATCTACCTAGTAAAGGGAGAATAAACATTTTTTTAAGCAGCAAGATAGAAAGTGGATCAACTGTGTGACTACAGGAGGCCCTCCTTTCTACTCACCAAGCCTCTTTGTTGGACAGTAGCTTCTGTCCTGTCCTCTGGCAGAAGCAGACAGATGTGAACAGCCTCTCCCCCAAACCCCCAACCCCAGGGTGAGGAGTGGTAGCTGGAGATTCCCCTCAGGCTTCTGGGCAAAGGGTCCCTGCAGTAGGCTCCCCCACCCAAAAATCAACCCGCACCTGAAGCGATCCCAAGGGGAGAAATCACTGTCTCTTCCTTGTATCTGGGTCCTAATTTACTATTAAAATTTTAAGTAGTGCATTCATATTTTACTGGACCTAATGTGTTTTATTAAATTTTAATCTATCAAGGGCAGCGTGATTTCTTTGTATTTCAAACAGTATTGAATTGGACTACAAGGAAGATTTCTTAAAAGACAGATCTGGCCCTATTTGCTCACCATTTCGATCTCAGAGAGAGGGCAGTTGGTGGAAGAAAGAGGGAAAGGAGGGATTCCCGCATCTGTTTTTGTGAGTATTTCAAAATCAGCCAATCTGCTTCAGATTTTGAATAGAAGATGAACACCCTGAGCTCTCTCTGGACTCGTGGCTTGAGGCAGAAGGGTTGGGGTGGGGGCATAGATTAAACTCTTCCATAGCCTCTACTGTTACAGGTAAGAAAAAGACGACAAAAGAAGGAATTATTCCTGAAACAAACTTCTGGAAGCTCCCAGGGATGTAGCTGCAGGACAAAGTTTAGGTAAAGGAGGGTGCTTTGGGTCTTTAGTATTGAGATACCGGCTATGTCTGAGGAGTGATGGGTCCGTTTTGCTCAAACGTATTTTTTCTTTTGAGTATGTCCACTACTTTTAATAGTAATTGGCAACTGATCTCCAAAATGCTAAACACCTGTTACCACTTTAGATGGTAAATAAGGCACTATAATATATTCATGAAATAGAGAGGAACATTGTTGAAATGACTGGACAAACTTTGTTTGATATGGAATTTATTGACCAAAATTATTCGAAGCAAGAGAACTCCAAACTTGAGCCCCAAGTCCGCCCTCCTACGTTAAAGGAGTTGCTCTTTCGCCCAAAGATGCCAGACACCCCCTATGCCTGAGGGCAACCGCCTCCTCTCAGTGCCTTTCCGGCTCTACTCCTAACCTTTCAATGCAAGTAGTCAGCAAGTGTCTCCAGAAATCTCTGCCTCCAGCAGCTCGCAGGACCTTCTAGAACGAAATACAGACTCAACCTCTTTCCCTCCAATCAAAGCCAAGCAAGATTCACGGAGGAAGAGGAGACAAAAGCAAAGGCTGTCGGTGCTCCAGAAGGTATACTCTGTTGGGAGAGACTTGGCCTAGACTGGGGCCCTGTAGTGGCAGAGCAAGTCACGTGGGGCTCTCTCTAGGTACTTCTCAACAGAGGAAAGCGCCCGGCAGAGGACGAGAGAATGAACGGAGACTAGGTAGAAGAAAAAGTAACGGTTCGTTCCCCTTTTCCTAGCAGAGGAAAAAAAGCAAAGCTCAGTTTCAAGGAAAGCAGACTGGGAGGAGGAGGAAGCAGGACGCTGCCAGCCCAGGCCGGCTGGTTGCCTTCCAGGCTCCTAGAGCCCTCTGGATTCCCTCTGGTGGATTTGCTAAGGCTGGTTGTGCCAGGAACCCACGTGCAGGGACAGCTGATTGGACCCACTGGCATCAACGGACCTTTGGAGAAAACACAATAGACTCAAGGAAACTAACATCTGCCCCAGCGAAGGACTCAAGTTCTCGGTACCTAACTCCACACTCTCCAGAGCGCAGGGACTTGGATTCACACATTTATGAAGGGCCACACACGCACGCACACACACACACACGCTCACACACTCGCGCACGCACGCAGGCACACACGTGCTGACACCAACGCACACTCATTTAGACGCGCACACGTGTTTCTCCCCTCATCTTCCCTCGCACCACTTGGGGGAGGGGAGCAGACCTTTGCGTTTTGTTCAGAAACAGGAACCCCCATGTCTACTTGCCCCGAAGAACTGTTATTTTTTGTCGCAGTGAACTTCCTTGGTCCGCGTATTTACCTCAAAGTTAAGTCCAGTCACGAAATCAAACTTAAAGCATTGGAACAATCAATGAAGACTTTTGCAATCCATGGCGCCTTGTGCTTCCTGGAACTAAAATAATGCAAGAAATCGAAACTTAATTACTTGAAAGAAATCCAGAAATCCCTCTGCATAATTTATCCAGTCATTTTTAGTAGCTTTTGTGTTTGGTGCAGTGTATGTTAACTATCCACTTTTGGCTAAGATCTGACTCCTCTAAGTCGATTCCTGAGGCTCACTGCCCCCACCTCAGCCCAGAAATTCTGTCCTGCAGAGGCTCCCACCTCCTGCCACTCCTCAGAGCTGATCTAGTAACCTTTTCTTTTTTTTCAAAGGCCACCAACTGTAAGGCTACCACAATCCCTGGGGCTAAGTATAGTTAAAAATTGTTTTAAATCTCACCCATTCTCTCTTCGTTGTCTTTTTGCTCACTAGGGCTATTATTTGAATTTGTGTGGGTTGTTTCATTCTCCATCTGAAACCAGGCCTCTTAGTAAATCAAGGCAGAACTATTTCTCTGAGGGAATAGTGCACTTCAAAAAGTACCATTTTGCTGGTGATGGGAAAATTGATTAAAAGGTAATTTTTTTCTTCTCTCCAGGGAAGTTTGGAAGTTTTTTTTTTTGTTTTGTTTTTGTTTTTTTTTTTTTAAGTGTCATTATCTTCCTAGTGACTAAGTACCAAGTATTTGTTCTGACTGAACTACTCTTCAAGATACTTAGCTGGACCACAAACCCTGGATACTTGTTTCTTCCTCTGATATCTGTTCCTTCCAAACTCACTCATTTTCTCCTCTCCTTTAGTTCCTAACTGACAGGGAGTCTTCATATCTACAAAGCACTAAAAGACCTCTCATCTGGACACACTAAATAAAGTAAATGTTCCTGTATTGAGTTTAAAGATGCTTGCTAAGATCAAATGACTTTTCACCTATCAAGACTCTGGCACTGTGTACCATGGGGAATTTAGAAATTTGGTGCTGGTCAATGCTATGGCTAGTGAATTTGTATAACTGAGCAATACCTGAATCTATCAGCATGGTGAGGGTGACTCCTGAAAGGCAAGCTGTTTAATAGACACCTCATAGAAATCTGAAGTAATGTTATGAAAGAATGAAAAATACATTGGGGAACAGCTTGGAAAATGAAGTACATTTTGATTTAACTTACATTAACAGAAATGTAATGTAAAAGTGAAAGGATCTAACAAAACCATTAATAATTAAAAAATAATTACAGACAGTCTATCCTTACTATTCATAACCACTCAACACTTTAAACAAAGAAAACGGAATACTCTGAATGGGAATGAGATGTGAGCAGACTGCTAATGAGAAGTTAACCAAGGACTGTGCATTTGTCAAAGGAGACGAGTTTCCTTGTTTCCCCCACCTGCATATTTTCATTCTCTTGTAGTTAGCTTGGACCTTCATCTTACATCAGCACACATACTGAGTGTCAGAGTTTATAAAACCAAAATCTCTTGAGCAATAACAATGCGGACCTTATCAAGTTTTGAGGATCAGGGGCACCAGATGGCATGTCTATTAACCATTCTCATTCACAAATATTTATAGGAGCCTAAGAGATACATGTCTCTGTAACAGATTTTAGTTGGACAATCCTATCCCACAGGATTTCACAAAACAATGACCCCCTAAAGGCAGCAGTTTGTTCTCTCTCCCTGTTTGTGATCACTTAAAAAAATTAATCATCATTTAAGGATTCATTGTCAATCTTTTTCTTGTATCGCTTACCGTAAGAGTTGTGTCCCTATGTTTTAAAAAATGTGAATGTATTTTTCTGTTACCTAAGTAGGGTTTCTTTTATTTCCAATGTACATTTTTCAATGTCCAAAGACTTTAGAGCAGTATTCTACATATAAGTATGCAGTAAACCCTTAATCATGCACTAGACCTTTAAAAAGGTGTTGGGAAGAAGGTACAGTGGCTCTATTCTGATTTTCACTGCATATTCTCCTTTATTTTGTTTGAGAGACACATGGGACTGCCCCTAGAGTGCTCTGTTGACGTTTGTTCGAGGCACTAGGAAGAAATCAAAGCAGCCTGGCGGAAAGCAAACTTCACTGCCTCTTTTCAGAGATAAAGGGAAATCTTACAAAAGGAGAGATTTGCAGAATACAACTAGAATCCAATGAAGTCATTGCTGAGCATCTGCTGGGAAGCCACCAGGAAGTGGAGACCTATAGCCCATGTCAAATCGTATGCATCTGAAGGATCTGAAGCCTCTTTCCTTCCTCCCCCATTCCCAGATGAATTAGAAACAAAACAGCATGCCTTTTGTACGAAACAGAAAAACCTAAGGAGAAATGCTAATAGGTTGACTGCAAAGATTATAAATACTTCTTAGCTATATAAATATGAATTGAGTGCATAAAACATGTTAAATTCCTTGTAGGCATCCACTTTCAAATTTTTTTAAACTGCAGCAGAAGGACCTTACAACAATGACAACAAATTCACCTTTAAGCATCTATCATTTCATGAAATTGTATATATAGCCTATGATTTGCCTGTAAATCTCATGTATATATAGACGTGTGTGAATTAAACATAGAATTACGATATTTGTACCCAAATATGTGTTGTTTCCCTCTTCCTTTCTCTCCTTTGTATGCATATACAGATCACGAAAAATATAATTCAACTAACAAGTGCTGTGTTAGATGCTGTAGCTTTGTACCTTGACTACTTTTTTTCTTATATGCATATAAGACATCAATTTTCCCTAGCATCAAAGCAAACACACAGTACTGGAAAGTATTAAGAACTCTCCTCAAAACAGAAATACTACAGTTTGTGGTGTCGTGTGCCCATTGCACCTCTTCTTTGGTTCTCAAGGCCAAAGTAGTCATTATCAACATTATGCTCATTTGGCATATTCCTATCGTCATATTTCATTGATTTCTCTTGGCCTCCATTGACCACTTACCTAGTCTGGAGCACATGGTTAGTCATTTCTATAGTGACCCTGTGAGACATCATCCTGATCTCATTGCTCCCTTACCTTTTAAATATCAAACTAGCCATTTTCTTTAATTTTGTCCATAGATTGCTGATTTCAGTGGAAAGAATAAGAAGGAGAATAGTCTAGTTTCTCTTTAAATTGTAATTTACCAATTGTTCATGTTGTCCACCTGTCATAAATATGGTGGCTTTCCACTCAACATCCCTCTAACCTCTTTCCAGTGTGCCTTCCTGCCATGCAGTGTCCATGAAGCTAAAAGCTACATTTCTCACACCCTTATAGCTCAGGTAGTGATGTAGCCAAGAGGCAGAAGTGTGAGTAATTTATTCTCAGGTGGTGAGTTTAAGAGGGGTGGTACATCTTTAGAGCCAACAGTTGTGCACCTCTAAGATGGTGTATTTCCTAAGTCTTTAGTTTCACCAGTTCCCTTCCTTATTCCACTTCTTCCTGATTATGGTGGAGTTCACAGCTTCCCTGGCAAGACAGTTCTGCACCATGGCTCTGGGAATCATTCCCAGAAGTTCAGCTTAGAGTCTGCTACTTCAGCCTTTCCAAAGACCTGTAAGCATCTACCTGTATTAAATCTCTCTCTTCTTAAAATAGCTGAAGTGGCTTAAAATAGCTTAAAATAGTTGTGTTACTTGCAGCTAAACCCTGACTGATACTCCAGCCATAACACTATTTTTCTCTACTGCTCAGTTTCCTTTTGACTCACCTTTAATTGGCTCATTCTCTGCAGAATATATTATAAATATTCTCCATTTCTGCCATCATGACTTTGAGCATAACCTCAACTCATAATTTACAAAAAAAAATTTACTGTTGCATGTTTTATTGCTGAACTGCTCTACCATCACCTAACAATTTTTTTCTGTTTTCACCAACATCTGTTTCTTTGATTCCCCCTTAAGTGTTAACTTCCTCCTCCAGAGTAATTATTTCATATGTCATGAGTTCTTATCCTCTCACCTCCTTCAGAATCTTGGTCTATCAACTTACTCTTATTCTTAAATCTTCAATTTCTCCTCTCCAGTCTTTCTCTTCTTACCCTACAAATATACTTAAGATGTATTAGTCATAAAATTGAAATTAAGAAACACTTTCTTAATTTTTTTCCCTTCAATGTCTCTCTTTCTTCGCCATCAGATTTGGAAATGGCAGTTACATTTACTGCTCTCATTTGCTTACCACCCAATCATTTCTTAACTTCTGGAAATATGATTTTAATCCTTGACTCGCTACTGATGGTGCTCCCTCTTACCATTCCAACGAGCTTTTAGTTTACAAATTCTGCAGTTTTTTTCCCAAAAGCATAGGCTCCACACTTGGAAATTTGTGCTGGCTCTGCTAGTTACTGACTTTGATTCTCATTCTGCCCTTCTGAAAAATGTGGACAATAATAGCAAATTCTTCCCCTAGATTATTGAGTAGATTAAATGGCATATTGCATGTAAAAGGCTTAGCATATTTCCTTGGATGTAATAAGCTCTTAATCAGTGTTAGCTAATAATAGAACAATATTAACAACAATCTGTAGAATGTGAGTGCTGATAATCTTCTCATTCTTGAAATGGATTCCATGGATTTAAACATATAATCTGTAAAGGCAAGTGTGCCAGCCTTATCAGAGTCATTCTTTAAACCAGGATTTGTTCTTTATTGGTGTTCTCCCACATTTTCCAGTCCACCAGACAAGGCCAGCCACCCAATGGCCCACCTTCCCAAGGCTATCACATGTTAAAATATGGGCTTATGTAATGTTTGTTAATTAACTCAAAAGTGCATTCAGAGAATAAGAGGTTTAAATGCTGTTGGTTGGTACTTTATCTTGCTCAGAGAGTTTGACATTTTTGTGACCAGGCTTCATCTACCAGTTTAACAGCATTTCTAACTATTGCCTTGAAAAAGTCCTGAGAGAAAAACATATTCAGTATCTAATCCTGAGCATATTTGATATGGTTCCTCTTCTCAAGTCAACAGTATTCTGCACATCTACTCTCTGAGACACTGAATTTTTTTTCGTATTTTCCTTGGCCACTCTTCCCTTTCCCAAAAGGCAGTGCTTGCCTAAGGATCTATCAACTCTGTTTGCTTCCCCCTTACTAATTACATCAGTTTTATAGCTTCTACTCTCACCAAAATGCCTCTCCAAACTCTATTACTCTGACCTCTTCTGATAGTTTCACATTCCAACAGTTAGATTTTTTCCATCTGGACATCTGCTCTATCTTCAAACTCAGTCCCTACAGACCATCCCAGTTTCACTTATGGACGTTATTATTTTAGATTTGTATATTTTTTTCCATATCTGATCTCCTAAATGAGACTTTGAAATCCCTGGAGACACAGTCTGTTTTACTACTCTTTGTGGCCTCAACATGCTTATCATTGCATTCTGTATAAAGTAAGTTCGTGATAGGTATTTGTGGACTAACTTAATGAACGATTGTTACAACAGAAAATGATTTGAATATTGTGCATTGAAATCTCACTAATGCTTTTTGTCTCTTGAATCCTTTTTGGTACTTGATCCAGCTTAACAGGTAGATGACAAACTAAGAGAAAACATTCGCATTGACAAAAAAGCACAGTGAAAATCCTAATTAACAAGGCAACCTTGAAAAAGAAGATAAAAAGAAGCAATATAAAACAAAATCTGATAGGAAAAAAAGCACAGTGGAAATCCTGGATTATACAAGGCAACCTTGAAAAATAACGTAAAAAGAAACAACATAAAACAAAATCTGATCGAAAGTGGACAAAGGATATAAATAGACAATTTACACATTGGCAAAGCATAGTTAGAATGCTAACTATGATGAAGAGATGCCAAATTTCACTAAGTAATCAGTGAGGTACCACTTTATATCTATCATCTTAATAAAATTGGAAAGTTAGACAATACCAAAAATTATTAAGGATGTCGGCTAGAAACCATAACATAGCACTGATATACGTAATTATTGTTATGATCATTTTGAAACGCAAACTTGCAGTTCTTAGTAAAAATGATCATGCAAATATCCTGTAGCCTACCAATTCTACTGCTGGATTATACGCCAAAGAAATTTTTCTACAGATCCCAAAGGTGACATGTTTCTATCAGTGCTGTTTATAATGACAGAGGTAGGGAGACAGCAGATGGCAATGAATCTTATGGCAATACGAAAAGACCTTAAAATGTTGAATGAAAACTGAATGAGGTCTATACTAGAATGCCATATATATATATATATGTGTATATATATATGTATATATATATGTGTATATATATATGTATATATATGTATATATATATATGTATATATATATGTATATATATATATGTATATATATATATGTATATATATATGTATATATATATGTATATATATATATGTATATATATATATATATATATATATGTATATATATATATGTATATATATATACACACACACACACACACACACAGAAAAAAATTGTATATCTTTCAAGGAGACTTATATCCAGAAACATATTCTCTTTATTAGAATCATGTCTTAGTCTCTTTGTGTTGCTATAATAAAATACCTAAGACTGGGAAATTTTTAAAGAACAAAAATTTATTTCTCACAGTTCTGGAGGCTGGAAGTTCAAGATCAAAACAGAGGCTGGTAGGGGCCCAGTCTCTCTGCTGCCAAGATGGCACCTTGTTGCTGCATTCTTTAAAGGGGAGAAAGGCTGTGTCCTCGTATAGTGGAAGAAGAGAATAAGAGAACTCACTTTCTCCAGACTTTTTATAAGGGCTCTGTTTCCATCTGTGAGCCCTCATGACTTAATCACCTCTTGAAGGATCCTCCTCTTAATACTATTACATTGGCAATTAACTTTCAATGTATGAATTTTAAAGGGGACACCATCATTCAAACCACAGCAAGTAAATACCATTGGCTGGTAGAAATGTAACTGAGAAGTAAATTCATTAAGAAATATTAAGGACCTTACAAGAGTTCATTTTCTCCTTTGAATTCTGCTTCTAAAAGTTTCTTTTAAGAAAACAGTTAAAAGTACACACGGAGAAATTCTGTGTTGTTTATAACAGTGAAAATTAGAGACAGTCTAAATGTCCAAAAATAGACAAGTAGCTTAATAAACTGTAGTACAACCATACTATTAAATAGTATTCAGCCACTACAATCATGTTTCCAGAGAAAATTTAATGACATTGGATAATGCTTTAAAATAAAGTAAACATGATACAAAACAATGATTCTTTCTGTTCAAAATAAGTATACAAATGCATGAAAAACAGTGAAGATTATGTTTTTTCATTTTACACGTTGCATTGTAAGATATTTTAATTTTCCAAATTATCTACAATGAGCTTTCATTATTCCTGTTACTAGAATTATATGCATGTCTAGATTTAAATATAGTTACAGATATAACTTTCACAGGTTACATACTTTTTATATAAGATTCATTGCATCTCTTATTTAAAGTGCTGTAACTAAACAATCCAGCTGAACCATTAGTTGAACTCATTCACTATCACTAGCCGCAGTGAGTATTTATAGCTCGAAAATGCTATTTAATTGACGT